CTTCTGCATCGGGTACATGGCGAGCAGTGCCGGCCGTGCAGAGGAGGTTGGACGCGGCCACGAGCGTGAGCCAGCGGGTCGGGCCCGCGTGGGCGTCGCCCGACAGCGTCGCGTGGTGCAGAATCTGGTGGAAGAGCTTCTCATGGCATTCGACGGGCAGCGCGGTCGTCGCGAGGTGCGACTGGAGCTCGTCCGAGGCCTTCTTGCTTGACTTGTGTATCCCTTGGCTCTGCTGGTACAGCCGCAGGAGCAGGCCCGAGAGGTCGGGCGGCTGCTGCTGGTCGTTCATCGGCGAGGTCGGCCATTCACAGTTGTGCCATGGGCCACCATATGCATTTTCAGAGGTTGGATGCCGAATTTAACAAACGGCAATGTGGCACCCCTACCCCCGACCGACACCGCATCACCTTGGCTACACATACATGTGTACCATGGGCATCTCGTTCCTCTCCGCCAAAGTTTTTTCTGCGACAGATAGCGATTGCCCACCAACAACCCGTCTGTGCTACGCTGCTAAACCGGTTGGACTTGGGACTCCTACGTCACAGCGGGATTTTGTTGATCGACGCGGCAAGTTGATTGACTGAGAGTCGAACATGGACGGCAGAGAGTATTTCTCAATAGTTCCGGAATTTTTGGCAATATTTGCAAAAGTTCCGGAATAAAAAATGGATATGTTCAAAAGTTCCGGAATGTTATCGATTGGTCAAAAAGGCACTTTTCGGTGAACATGATTGGTTTATTCTGGGCTAATTCGAGGGCGGCCGTCAGCAGCAAAAAACCTAAATAGTGTTAGAAAACAGTCAATTAGCCTGATATGCAGGGCTAAATAGTGTTATATGATTTGGACTGTGGAAAGCAACAAACCCGAATCATCCTCAAGCGACGATGGCGAGCGAGACGCAGCTCTTACGTGGAATCGCCGCCGACGAGAAGTACAGCGATGCACCTGAAGTCGGTCTTGGCTTCTATGGCAGGCGTCGTCATGTGACAAGATACGTAAAGGACCGGACACTGGCTAACCGTTTCACGATCGTCGTCGCGAAAGCAGGTACGCTGAAGCGCGCGGTTTGCGAGGTGTTTTGAGGGTACCTATCGCATTCAAGGTGTGTTTTTCTTGTCGAAAATGAAGCTGGTTCGCACCGATCTTACATTATGCAATGTAGGCGTGCAAACGAAGCACTCCGATATGGACCCGAGCCCGATGCCTGTGGTCGTAGCGGTGCCATCAACCTCGACTACTCCGAAGGGTAAGAAGAAGAAGAATGAGCAAGACGTTGTGGCTTACCTCAAGGCCATCAGTCAAGAGCACTAGACGGTATACGGCAACATGGAGGCGTACAAGACAGAACCTTCGTCACGGCGACTGCTGCACTGGACGTTCGTGCCCTATTTGGCGTCAGAGCCACCAACTTTGTCGAGTCCGACAACGCGAAGAGTATGTGCCTTCGTTCATGTGGGTGGTGTTCTAACTTTATGTCTAGATATCCACTATGGCCTCCGCTTCAACCTTCCGTTTGCAGCTGTGTACCTCAGGGTGGCAGAGGTCATGCAAACGTCGGCCACTCGACGACGCGAGGTTGAGCGTGAGTCGTCCTACCTGGAACTTTCAACGCTTACCAAGTTCGCGCACGATAACTACGAGAAGTCGCTCGAGATGGCTCAAGCGTACACGATCTAGGAGTCAACAAGGTCAATTTTGTTTGTGTACTGCGAGTCCCACCTTGAAGCCAAGCGCGAGGTCTATGGCGAGAAACTAAAGTGCTTGTGCCCTTACCGCGAGCAGACGCAGATACCTTGCAACAAGAGTACACAAATGAATTTATGTACTACTCTTGCTTGCAACTCATTCGTGCGCTTGAGCACATCAGTGCGCTGCACCGCATCGACGAGTGCTTTCACAAAATGTACAAGTTCGAAAACCACAAGCAAGCGGTGATGACAGTCTCGTACCGCCCGCCGCTGTACGCCGACCGCAAGCCCGAAGGTCGCATTCTCCCATCTAAAGTCGTTGCACGCGCGGGCAGAACGCAGTCGACGCGCATCGCGAGATTGGGCGAGTCGTACACGGCGGGCAAGGCGACAAAGCTCTACCAGCAACGTGGCGCGGTTGGCGCCGTACAAGTGCAAGTCCTGTGGCGGCGAGGGCCACAACGCGGCAACATGCCGCAAACGACAACGGAAGATCTTGCCCGCAACTTCTTCGGGAAGCTACCTCAAACCCGACGTGCCAAGGACGAACGATCGTATTCGAGTTTGCACCCTCATCCACGCAAGCGACGACGTAGAGGCAATGCTCAACGACGAGACCGACTTCTGCGACGTCGACGAAGATGGCTTCGAGTTGGGAGGCACCGGTCTCGAATCCATTTTGGCATTATTAAACGAGTAACGCAGTGCACACTCTCCGTACCATACACATCTCGACCTGTACCTGCTAAGCCAGCAGCGCATGAATCATGGCAACGGTTGGTCTTCACTCTGTTTCACGATCGTCACATTTCTTTAACTAACACTATTTAGGTTTTTTGCTGCTGACGGCCGCCCTCGAATTAGCCCAGAATGAACCAATCGCGTTGACCGAAAAGTGCATTTTTAACCAATCAGAAACATTCCGGAACTTTTGAACATATTGGTTTTGGTATAGCGCGCCATTCCGGAACTTTTGCAAATATTGCCAAAAATTCCGGAACTATTGAGAAATACTCGACGGCAGAACGCGTGAAGATAGCAGTGCATGTAATAGTATACTGTATGTAGAAGGGCTATGGAATACGATGTGCCCAAAGTAGTTTGTCTGGTGCTCTGAGATTTCACGTCAGACGGTGGATGTCCCCGACGATCTTTTGGAGATTCTTCAGGAGACCCGGTAGGCGCTCGTTCGCTTGCTTCGAGTTGGGCAAATCGGACATGATGTCGTGCATTGTCGTCGAGACGTCCTCGACTCTTTGGACGATTTCGTAGCTGGTCTTGGCGAGCGCAAGCCACTCGTGCCAGTAGCCTGTCATCACGTCGTAGCAATCGGCACAGTGGTCCATAGCATCTGCGTCGAAGAGTATGTCGATGGCGTCACCGTTGTTATTGGCAATTTCGTTGTAGTGACCCGCGAGCTTGGACCAGAAATTGCGCAAAATTCTCGAAAACTCGTCGTGACCTTG